TAAAAACGCACAATTCAATAAAAGCGCACAATTCAATAAAAGCGCACAATTCAATAAAAGCGCACAATTCAATAAAAAGCGCACAATTCAATAAAAAGCACACAATTCAATTAAAAAGCACTCAATTCAATTAAAAAGCACTCAATTCAATTAAAAACAATTCAATTAAAAACACTCAATTCAATTAAAAACACTCAATTCAATTAAAAACACTCAATTCAATTAAAAACACAAATTGCACATTCCAGCAGTAAACAACACAACAACGAGACCAGAGCTTCGGTGCATAGCAACAAACTATCTGCCTCCGTTAAGTTAAGCAGCAGTTTGTGTGAATCATGCCGTAGTGTATATTTGATGTCCATTGAAATGTCTCTCCTTTTCCCTCAGCTGTGGACTTCTTCAACCAGATCAACATGCTGTACGGCACCATCACTGACTTTTGTACAGAGGACAGTTGTCCTGTCATGTCTGCTGGGCCAAAGTAAGAGCAGCTGTGAAGCATCATGTGGACGTGCTGTCACTTGTCACTCCTCCTATCTACCGTTTTATAAATCTACTCTTCTGTCTTCCTGTTTGTCTTTAACTGTAGTAATGATTTTGACTCATGAATATTAGTACATATAATTAAAAACAACTTAAATCTCAAAGAACAGAAAGGTCCAAAGTTTCCTCCATGGTTTCCAGTAGCATGATGCAGGAACAATAAGTTCAGCTTTTCACTGTGCCTTGAACAAATGAAAGCACCTCCAACTGTTGGTTTCTGCAAACAGAGTAGTTTGACATCAACGTTTGGGCCGTACTGCAGTGCCATCAGAACCTTTAACTGGTGTCTTTTTCAGTTGCTTCTACCCAGAACTGGTTTGTTGTCTACAATTATAACAATGTGGCCTTGACTCTGTCAGCTGAACGTTCCCTCCGAGTTCTGGGCGAGTGTCTGCCTGAAGCAGAGTCCACGTGTCCGAGCATCTTGTTTACAAGTGGCGGTGAGGTGGAGTAGGACGTGGAGCAACGGATTGACAGTAATAAAGGTGTTGCTCGGTCTGTCATGGTGAAGAGGGAGCTGAGCTGGAAGACGAAGCTCTTGATTGTTTGCTCTGTTGCAACCTTCGTCTGTGTCACGAGATCTAGATCATTAACTGTTGATACGGCACAGACTTAAAACAATGAAAGACACTTCCAGTCCGTCCTTTGTCCACGCAGGTTCAGCCTTTCAGCCGGCGACTGCTGTCGTTTATTCAAGGCTCAGACGTTCGTTTGGGTTGCACAGTCTTAAACAACATCAATAATCCTTTGACGTTTATTAAGATAAAAACATTAGGAATCATCATTCAAATAAGAGGGACACTAAAACGTTGTTAAAAAGAATAGAAAACTATTCAGCAGCGGTTGTGTAAAACACAGCTACGATGTGTTGGAATAAAGGTTTAAAATGATGAGGGTGAAAACAAGTTCCAGACGCTACAGGACAGAGATAAGAAAACGCTCCATCAAAAGGTCAGAGTGCAAAACACACGACACTAATCTTTACACAGTCCATCATTTGAGTGTACTGTCCAAACTGCTGCTCATCTTCAGGTGAACTTGTCCTGGACTTCTTTCATGCTAATGTCAGTTGTTGATGAGCATCCAAATGAGCATGAGGTTTGGTGACTCCTCAACTGTTTCTCTTCTGTGGTGCAAGTCAAAGTGTGTCTGTCCAGTCGGGCTCTGATTCAGAACATCTGATGCTACATTATCCCCTTCCATGTGTTACATTTTCTGCAGGTATGAGTATCACTGGGCTGATGGAACCAACATCAAGAAACCCATTAAATGCTCGGCCCCCAAGTATATTGATTACCTCATGACCTGGGTGCAGGACCAGCTTGATGATGAAACCCTTTTCCCTTCAAAGATCGGTGAGACTTTGTCTGGTTTCTGCTCCGTTCTGAGGAAAAACCATTGTTCTGCATCATGGATGTGGACTGTCTGCTTTAAATCATGTTTGTCTAATGTTTGAAACATTTCTATAAGATCTCCAGCACTGCACTGCTCTCCATGATCTACTGAGAACATAGTTGGATTGTAGCAAACATGGAACACTTCCTTCAATGTTAACACATTCATGACACTGCCATGCCCTTAGTACTCTCAGACTCCCCAAGACACTCTTCTGTGCCTCAATGTGTGAGCACTATGTTATTTTGAAGCAGCTCCCACATAAATATAGACACACATACTTCAACATTACCAAGTAATTAATAAAAGTATACACGGATGTGACTGAGCTACAAGGCTCCATGGTGGAGTCCTCCTGGCTCTTCTTCCATGGGGCTATAAAATGTGCCGTTTCAACATGTCTCAGATTTTGTGATTATGAAATGACTTACTCTTGGAGTTGAGCTTGAATGGTTTTGGACGGTATTCTTGGCTCTTTTTCCATCATCTTCACTCTCTGATCAAACTAGGATTGCATCTCCTCTTGTGTCCACATACTAGAGCACTGGCTACAGTCTCATGAACTTTGTACTTTTAAATTATATTGACAGCTGTTATAATGTAATACTCTGGTCAGAGGAACATGAAGGTGCTTGCAGATGGTCTTGATGCACAACTCTTTTTTCTGAGCTCTTCAGCCAGCTCTCATCGTTGCTTTCTCTGCTCCAAGTTCCACGTGGTGCACACGACCATTCTAACCTACTCAGCAGATTACTTGTTTCTTATAAAGAGGCTGAATGAAAACCTGATAAAAGCCTCAATGCACCTGTGTTCGTATTTTTTTAAGTCCCCGCTGTTCTCTCTTCGTGGGTCGCCACAAGTCCTCCTCCTCCATCTCACTCTGTCCTCTGCGTCCTCTGTCCTCACTCCGTCCACCTCCATGTCCTCTCTAACTGCATCCATATAGCTCCTCTTTGCACTAAGTTTGTGTGCTGCCTGTGTGGTGGGTGGGGGCATGATAGGTTGCAGCCAAGACATGAGGCTAGCCTGCCCAGTCCTGCTCCATGGATGTGCTACCAGCACAATAATGAACCAACATGAGCTTGCTACAGAGCTTTTGTGCATGCTTAAGACCATCTACATCCTGTCAAACTTGATCTCATCGAATGGGGAATCCTGAACACCTTAAGAACCGGCAAAAAGCATCCAAGTTCTGGCTGTTTTATGTGTATTTGTAATAAACACTGTAGCAAGGCCCTTCAGTGTATTCAGCAGCTGTTAACGGTTAGATCACAATCCTATCCTTAGAAAGAGAAGCTTCATTTCATTCTAAACTGATTAGACGACACCGTCTGGACTGTGTTTAACCATATACAGGACCACAGAGATGATGACGGTAGTTGATGCTTGCAATGTTCTCAGCCTCTTAACTAGCTGAGACGTGTTGTTCAGGGTGGAACTGAATTTTCTCTTATGTCAGCAAGTCTAACCATGAGTCTGATGGGCTGAGTACTGTTCACACTAAATATGTCTGCCCATAGGCAATAAATTAAAACATGTCTATGATGTTTAAATCTGTTGTTCTGTCAGAACTATCTTGATGCTTCTTGTCACATGGTGTGTTGCAGTAAACGCACCCTGCTGAGACACATTTTAAAGGTTTCATCACATCCGGAGCCTCTGAAACAAAAGGGTTAAAAGAGTTGTACAGCTACAGTAAGTAGTTTTATTAAGAGCTGCTCGTGTATCCAGAAGCTCTTTGAAATAAATGGCTTTGCACTCCAGCTGTCTCTGTATGCCTGTAAAGTGTAGCAAATCACCCCATCAGGCTGCTTTACTCCACTTTACTACAGAAACATGGACCATTTGTTGAAACTTGACATTTCTATTCTACAATCACATTTTGAACAAGTTAAGACCATAAGGTGGTCCATTGTTGTAGTCATGATTGCTCTCACTTTATCATGCTGTAGCCTGCCTGTGAACACTTTTGTAATCAAGGAGAACAAACTGTGGAGTCTGTGGATCCTGTTCTCTTGTTTTTTAGCTGACCTACGGTAACAGGAAACCAAAGTAATAAGAGACGAAGCACAGTTAGAGCCCCATGTTTGAGTCTTTTACAGTACAAAAATATTTACATTTATTATTGTATATACACACACACACACACATA